GAGTGGGTGGAAAGTTATAGACCAATTTTCGTATAACGAAAACAAAGTTAGGAAACGTTCAAACTTCTCGTCGTACTACTCCTATTCTTCATATCTAATTGACAGAGGTTCCAGACGTATCGAGAAATATAAGATCTCTCGGAGAAAAAAGGAAATCGATGACGATCGCAGCTGCGTCGAAAACGTTACTCGTCGCTGACTTAACAGAGGCGCGAGCGATTTCATTCTCCGCGGTGGAAGACTCGACGGATATATACCGGTACAAATCGATTGTTTTCATTTGGCTCACGGCGCGAGGTAATTTAGTCGGAAGAGAATTAACAAAAATGAAAGCGCAAATGTTGTTAATGTCACAACGTTGTTGTAGGGCCTCCTCTTCCCCCGTTCCGACACGGCCAACAACTATGCACTGACGATTATAGGATCTGAATTATTCACGGTACAATCCGGACATAATTCGATCACATACCGTACGTTTTATCAAGAATTAATTTTCATTCGGAGAACCGTAATTAATAGCAATCTGTAAATAATGAGCGACAATAACAATAGGACGAAAATAGTAATACACTGGTCGGCGGAGGCGACCGTGTTATTGATTATCGTCGATAACAGGCTGGCGCGACTAAATAAAAGGAGCTTTCAATTGACGGGATTGAGACAATAATAATGCAAGCCGAATCTCCCGGAGGGCGAGCGGGCACGCGCGCGAGAAGTTACGCGAGATTCATTCAACGGTGTGTAATCGGACGCTTCATTAAGAAAAAAAGAAAGAGAGAGAGAGAGAGAGAGAACGCGCGCGTCTGCGACGTTAAATCGTAATTCCTGGTTGCCAACGTGCATCTTGAGAGGTCTCCAGCTAGTCTTTGTCGTGTTCTCTCGTTCCCTCTGTCTCTATCTCTCGCCCGAGTATTTTCTCAAACGCACTCTTATCCATCGACAGCGATGGCGTATTATTAAATCGCCGCTTCGAGCTCGCGCGATTGCCGAAATTAAAATTCCACCGACAAATTCCATTTCGATTGCGCGCGCCTACGCGGATTCCCTCGTAATCCTCTCTCTCTCTCTCTGTCTCTTTTCGGTATCCCGCGAGGCTCTAGAATTTTTCCCGGCGATGTTGAGGAAGAAGAAGAGAAGATGCGCTCTCTAGCAAGCGCGAGAGCGCGAGCTTCGCATGGCTTCGTTATCGAACTTATAAAACCTTCGAGATTGAAGTTCCCCTCCCGTACTATTAACTGGAATTAACCTTCTGGTGAGAATCTTAAGATTCCGATTGCGCCAACTTCGCGCGTACCGGTGGAACTTTGTGGTGGAACTCATTGCGGCATTCAACCCGCAATTTAGATTTCTCATTAAACGCTGAAAATCACCGATGGATGCACGCGAGTTAACCGTGGCAGCGCCCCGCGCGAACGCGAGCGCACGCGCTCGTGCTTGCGCTTGGACTTAATTATTACGGGTTGTTAGCTTATCGTGTAACGTACATATGTAAAACACACAGAAAGTAATGGTACGGATCGTGCCATCGTTATAATCCTTGACTGTAATCCTCGCAGCTATACGGATCGTTCGGTGCGTCTCGAGTCGATTTTTGTTTGCGTTTCCACGAGAGAGAGAGAGAGAGAGAGCTGGTTGGCACAGCCGTAGCGCACTTTTTTAATTCACGCTATTAAGGAAGCTGTAAAGTGAAATGAATTTGATAAGAATTCAATGAAACTTGCACTACGCAAACATTGAAATATGATCTAACTGCTCCTGCAATCAGGGAGAAATCGACCATTCAAGAACTGAAATATTTGCAACTAAAGTTAATATTCTTTTATGATATTAAATTACTACTTATTATTTAAATAGTGAAATAAAGTATTAGAAACGCCATTTAGCTTGATAAATACTAAATTTATGACTAATACTTGAGACTAGACTGAGTCTTACAACTTCTTTCAGTAGCTCGAAGAGCGAAGAAATGCGACATGTTTCTCATTCCTTTTTTTCCTCCTTATTTCGCAAGTGTAAACTCCTCATCGGTATAAAGAGTCGACCCACGAACAAACAACGAGACGGGAGCCGACAGAATAGAGTGTATCGCGTACTATCGTTAATACATTCCGCCCGAGTGTGCGAAGGATAATTGATTTCACCGCGAATTTACAGGATCTCGGGAGGTGTTGCCTAAATATTTCTACACCATCCGAGCAACGAAGGCGGTAAACGTCCGGCACGATACGATCTATACATTCCCGCTTCCGGTAACAAACACGAGCCCGAATATAGAGACATTAACCCGTGAGCGCGCGCGCTCACGCCCCGCACGAGCTCGCCGCGCATATTAGAAACTATCTCCCCGACCGACAACGCTGGCGCTGGGATATTATATCGAATATTGCGTTACACTTTTATTGTGCTGACCGGCCGACCGTGCGGCCTGTATTCCCGAACGTCGTTCCGCAAAAATCAGACTCCGTAAATAAATTAAGCCCGGTGAAATTTTCAGGCGTGCGGGATCGATAAAGCCGGCCCCGTCGTAAGGTCGAAACCCGGCGCGTATCGCGAGTCAGACGGCGAACGGAAACCCCTGAACAAAAATAAACGAGCGAAACACTTAATCTGAACATCTACCGTCACCCTTTACGCTGATTCGCCACTGACGGCCGCTCGTGGCTTTCGCTCCGACACCGACGCGAATCCTCTCTCTCTCTCTCTCTCTCTCCCTCTTTCTCATTAATAGTACCGTCGACCATTAACTCGGCCATTTATCATCGGCCGATGTGACGATCTAAAGCGCATCTTGGACCTTGGGTAGCGCCATATTTATACCACCCGTATCTCTATCGATCGCGTAAATTTCTTCGAAGGGGTGGAGGTGGGGGGGCGACAAGGGTCGGCCGGCCGGGGGGTAGTGGGTGTGGAAAGGGAGACGAGGTAACGGCATTTAATTTCACAGCGTGTCATTTAACCTTCCACCAGGCGGACGGGTCCATTAGGCTCGCACCTGTTTCTGAAAGTATGCTCGTATAATCATTTAAAGGACCGGTCTGCCTCCCCGCGCGAGCGAGCGTCGCGCACGAACGTGACCACCTCGCGATATCTCTCGCGTATGCATATAAACGTTTATACATGTCGCGTAATACACTGGGAAATTGCAACGTCCTATCGCGGCACAGCATCCGATTATACAGGATAATTTGCGGGAAAGCAGATGCGGCCCCGGCGACGTGAACCCGGGCGATCGGCGAGAGCCGTGGGATTGATTTCGCCGCGACCGACAAAGACGTCGACGGTCTCTCGGCTCGACGTTCGTCGAAATTTCGCGGTTCTCCCGTGGTCTCTTCACGCGTCCTGCGCATCATGCGAATCGCATCTCCGTCGCGAATATCGTTCACCGACAATTTTTCGAAAAGACTCCCACGCGCGAGTTCGCTCATTCGCTCGTTCGCGTCTCGTCTAAAATCGTATATCGCGACAAGTGCGGAATATTGATCTCGTGAATATTTTAAGGCGTCGAACATACACACGCTCTCGCGCACACACACGTACGTACGTACACACATATAACCGCGCCGCGGAGACCGTTGTCACTAGAATCCCCATAGATTATTCCGTATTGTGGCAAATGTGAGAGAGGGAGAGAGAGAGGTAGCGTGCGACGCGCACCTCGTGCGCTCACACGCGTGTGTGCACACGCGACGCATGTTTTAAATGTTGCAAATTTACCAAGCTCGCCAGATGAAAAGTGAGTACACACCCGCGACACTTGCATCGGGTTGCACGGAAGCGCGACAAGATATTGAATTTAGAACCTAGAGAGATATCGAGTGACAAGATATTGAATTTAGTATCGGAAGAAATATTGACGCGCGCTCGCGATCGCTCGTTCATTCGTTCGCTCGCGACACGCAACGGCTGCACAATTTTTCATTAACTCGCGTGATTTATGACACGCGTTAACTTACCGGCGTATTATAAGGGTCGCATGTGCGTTTTGCAATTAAAAGGATATTTTCCGCTCGAATGTTCGAAAGCTCCTCTTTCTCAAAGAGAGAATGGGAGGGGAGCGAGAGAACGTTGTATCGTGGTAGCTTTTAATAAATAATTTTACGGGAGAGATAGAACGGAAGAGGCTTTCGTTATATTTTGTCGTAAGTGACAGCAATATCCATTCTTATCAAGCAGAATGGGCCCATATACTCGCGTATTCGCGGTAGATTTCGAATGATATGCTCTGTAACGGCATATACAACTTTATGACGATAATAACTCGGCGTCGCTAAAAATTGATACAGCGTTCTTTGAGAAGGGGAGACAGAAAGAAAAAGCGTTATTTATTTGACGCTTCTTGGGACATGGCCTCTTATGCGCGAGAGATCCAAGTGTCAAAAATAGAAGAAACTTGCAATGTAAAATTGCGACGGAAAAAATATTCTTAAATTGATGATAGACATTCTCATATATAAGCAAGAATATTATAATTTCCTTAGAAGATTTTTAGTCTTGAATGGAGTGTAATTCATGTGTCGATACAAATTATTCAAATCAAGCTTAAAATCTTCTAAGAAGATTATAATATTCTTGCTCATGTATGAGAATATCATTGATTTAAAGATTAATTTTTTCCGTGTATGAATATAGTATCATAAAATTGAATACGTACGTACTTATGAAAGAGAGAGAGAGTGTGTACATCTAAATTTACGTACTCTTCCTCCCTGTCTTCCTTTCTCTCTCTCTCCTTCCAACTGATAGGTTCGAGTTTTAAATGGCATCTGGCACGAATCATAGATTCCGCATGCGGATATTATAATCCCGGGATATTCTCGTCCGAGGCACAAGCCCGAAATACAAGCGGTAACACGATCGCGAGGGTAGTACGTTGCACTCACTCAATCCGCTCGCGTTCGCCCGAGACTTCCAAGTTTCTTCATTTAACGCGCGAGGTAAATTAAATCGATCGCGTAATTTCGCGAGATCGCGCTGCTTGTTCCCTGAGACACGCGACTTACCTCGTTATCGCGCATCCCTCGGAGGATCCGTCGGTGCGATCCGGGACGGCATCGATCGTGGATCGCCGCATCCTCGGCTCCGGGGTAAAATCCGTATCGAGCGCACTGGAGTATCCGGCCATCGCGTAGCTCCGATCCGATGCAGCGCGCGCGCGAGCGAAGCACTATACCGACATATCCTTCAGCGACGAATTCGTCGGAGCGCGCACCGACGACGACGAAGAAGAACCACTGGCGCGCTCTCGCGCGTGTGTATGTGCGTGCGTGCGTGAGTATGTGTGTGATGTGTGTGTGTGTGTGTAATCTCGCACAAGACGCTTGCAAACCAGCCTCCTGTCGCAGCCGAAGAAACGTATAATCCACGGGTACGTATATTCCACTAACTGTCACACGTGTTACACGGTGTCGCACGGTGCGTACATTTGCGCTCCTCGCGGTAGAAGAGACACAGAGCGAGCGACGGAGAACGAGGAAAGAGAAACAGAGGAGGAGAGAGAGAGAGAGAGAGAGAGTCACGGATCTCGTAGTAAAGTCGCTCGTTTATTTCTCTCCTCTTCGAGCTCAAGCGATACTCGATTTCCGAAAGCCGCGAACGGGGACAGAGAGGCGAGCACACAATCTCTGAAGTCGTATCCTCGATCCATCCGCGGACATTCGATCCCCAACCGTCGGGCGATGATCGTCGTCGGGCTCACTCTCACATCATCATCAACATTCTATACGATTGCACCACTGGCGTCCATCGAGGACGACGCGCTGAGGCTGGTATCGTCAGGACGAGATCGTAGCACCCTCGGCACCCGCGAGTCCTCTCGGCGACCCGCGTCGTTCACCTCGCGGCATCACGACATGTACTCGCGCGTCCGCGAACGACGGTTGCTCGGCTGCTGGCTTGATCCGTCGCTCGCTCGATCGGCGGGGGGTGAACGAGGATCCGCGAGAGCGCACGAGAGCGAGCGAGAGAGAAATGGAGGCGCGAGTGACGACGTAGCTTCCGCTCGATCGAACTCCTCGTGCACTTGAATCCCCTCGAGGGTCGGCGGTGAGAGCGAGCGAACGGCCGCGCGACACGACGCTGCTGATATACAACGCTTGTTTCGCGAGGGTAGAAAGAGGGAGTGAGAGAGAGACTGGGTAAGGGTTGCTCCGGGACGAGACTATCGCATCGCGTTCGTCGTCATCCGACCCGCACGGCAGGCAGCACGAAACTACTGACGGTCCCTTCAGCGAGCGTACTTTCACCCCCACCACGGCGCAACCTGGCAACCCCCACGCGACGCTGGGTACACGCGCCCCTTACCCCCTCCCAATAATGGGCACGCACCGAGCTACCCGGAGCGTGACACACGCTCACGTTCTTGGTGGGGGCTACGGTCGCGTGGCGGATGCCCGACTCGGAGGGGATGCTATGAAGTTGGCGGCGGTAGCGGTGGCGCGCGCATGCGCACGCCACGCGCCGTACGTCGCTTCCGCCGCCGTTGCCGCCACCGCCGCCGATGGCTCGTCGTTGCTCGTCGTCGCTCCAGCGGAGGATGGCTCCACCGCGCGCGCGGCCTCGTGAAAATCTACGGGGTAAGTGCGTACGTATGCGCCGCGTACAGCGAAGGCCGCGAGAGTGCAGGGACCCCGACCACTCGCTCTCCTCCGCTCCCCCCCTTTCTCTCCGTCCATCTCGCTCGTTCTCTCTTTCTCTCGACCATGCTGCGTCGACCGCGATGAGGATGCTGGCTAAACGCAGATACGTGACTTCTGTCGGCCGGCGGCGGGAGAGAGAGAGAGAACATTGCAGAGCGAATTACACATTGCGCATCGGGAAAGAATTCTCGCGCGCGACTTTCCGCGCGGCGACGATGATTATGAGTTATCGTACGGTATAAAGCGGAATGATAGCGACGCGGCCGCATCGCGCGTAACTGGTTCTCTCTCTCTCTCTCTCTCTCTCTCGTAATTTCCATCGTTCGCGCGCTTTATCAACGCGAGGCACGCTCGCGAAGCGACCGCTCATTGCTCTCACAGCGTTTAAACGGCCACCGGGTACCGCCAATGCCCGACGCATATTTTTTCTCTTTTTCTCCCGAGGGGCAGGGAGAAGGGTGGGGCGTTCGGACGGGGTCGGGAACACGATCGTTGCCGGAGCTCAATGTATTTTCCTCATTTAAACGAAGCGTTAGAAATTGTGGATTATGCGCCGGATGGTATTCAGCAACTCATTTATGTTGTTACATTGTTGCGTAGTCGGTCGGAATGTTACGATGTTAAACTCGACTCGGTTAAATGTTTAATATTTAAAATATTAGTTCTAGCCGAATGGAATTCTGATTTCTCGTTCTGAGTGTTGAAACGCTACGAATATGCATCGGAATTGCCGGCCTCTGGGGAACTCGCGAGCGCGAGGGGCGGTATGTCATAGGAGAAAGAAAAGAAGAAAGAGAAAGAAAGAGAGGGAGGAGGGGGGGGGGGAGAAAGAGGAAGACAGAAAAACACAAGAGACGGAGACGCATCTATTTACAGATGCGTCCGCTTATTTATCACACACACACACACACACACACACATAGAGAGAGAGAGAGACGAAATGCACATACGCCGAGAACGGACGGCGGATGCTGCCGTAGCTGCTGCAAACGAGCGATTCCAGGCAGGACGATGACGAGAGATGGCGGTGCGAGCTTACATGCTCTTTGAGAACGCGGCGTCTCTCGTGCACTCTCCTTATAATCTCGAGATAGTCGCGTGGAATTACATGCAACGGCATTTCGCGAATGAAATTATCTCCGACACGCGCAGCGTATATTTCTCGCGCTCGGTGGTGCGTTAAAAATTCACAGTTTTTTCCCTCCATATCCCCCCTCCCTCCCTCCTTCCTGTCTCTCTTTCTCCGTCAACGGATATATCCAAAAACATGCTAATCAGAGTCGGCGTATCGAATCGAAAATCGTCGCGTTTTATCGCGGTCAAAATTTATATGTTTAATGCATGACACCAGAGTAAGGGGGGAGAGGGGAGGGACGCGTAGATGCTGAAAAATGTACCCGCATATTTTCGTGCGCGCGTTTTCATTTTAAAGGAAATAAAAGAGTCATGCGTTGTAGCGGGCGGAAAGGAACGTTGCGAGTGACGCGTGTGAATTCGCAAAATTCGGTCATCCCGGATCGCCGTGGAGCTGCTGCGCGCGAACACAATCATCGTACCGGAACGCGCGCGTCACTGGCGCGCGCGCGCATTAATGAGTCAATTTAATGGAATCACGGGGATAGTTTGGGGTAAATCTTTTAAGCATTTAATGAAGAATTCGGTGCGCGGGATAATATAGTGAGCGAAGAGGTGGCGTGTCCTGCTACTCGACGGCCGTCGACAACGATAACGGGACACGACACAGCCCGCCCGTTCGCCCTCGCTATTACGTGCCTCCTCCGAGAAAATATCGCCCCGAAGAGGTCCCGCCATTGAAATTTTAATTTCGTAGATCATGTTAACGACGCGACGGCGGATCTCTGCATTCTGCACGCACATGCCATCATGCCTCATCGTCGTCGTCGTCGGATATTTTCTCGCGAGCGTGTGCGCGTGCACTCCGATTATTTGGTTAGAGTATCGCATCCGACATTTCTCGCGCGCGATCGATGAAGATTTTATCGCGTTAACGATATCGCACCGACATGATATACATCGAACGAAAATGCACGATCAATGGGAGGGTCTTTGTCCCGGTGTTGTTGTTCGTCCTCTTTTCCGATTGTCCTTTATTAATAAGCGGCGGCTCATGTCGGCACTCACACGATCAGCGTGTCGTATACGTTTCCCCGGTGAGAATCGAGTGATTTACGACGGCCGATTGAGCTTCACAGTCGCGCATTATTAAGCAGCTAACCGCGAGGCATCGTCGCCTGGCGTGTGTTCCTCTCGTCGTGTTCGCTCTGCGTGCAAAATACTAACTTATTTACTTGTACATACGCGAGAACAAATTACACGCTTAATTTTAGCTTCTGAGGCATCCACGACGCGCCGTTCCCGCGGCGACGGATCAAAAGCCGCCGGGAAAGAATTATAAAAGAGGAGGGAACACACGATGAATGCGCGCATCGTCGTCGTCTCGCGCTCGCGTTCGCTGCGCGGAGACTTCCACTAGAGAATTTCGAATATGGGCTGTAGTCTCGAGAAGAGGCATCTCATTCGACACCACAGACGGTAATAACGAGAGCCCGGCGGCGCGAGGTTACGTGCTTCCTCCAGAGAATATTAATCCGTAATGCTGAACTCGGTTTGCTGAATCTTCCCAGCTACCTATATCAGGGAACGACCACGACGAAGGGTAACGGCAATGCTCGAAACGGAAACTTTTACGACAACGCAAATATCATTAGCCGTCCGAATAAGCCGATTCACGCTGCGCTCCGCTTCGCGTGCGATCTTAATTTTTCCCTTTCGCGTAGTCGCCTCTTCCCTTTTCTTCCTCTGCCTAGAGAAAGAAAGAGAGAGAGGAGAGAAAATCGAGAAAACGAGGAAAAGAGTGAAAGTGAGACGAGGTGAGAAGGTGTAAGAAAAATCCGCGGGTGGGCGACCAAAACGAACCAAGTGCCCGGAGAAAGCATCTCGGCGTAAATTGTATGGCGCACTTGACTGCACCGGCCGAACTCCCTTTGTTTGCTCGTACGCTCGTTCGGATTGTACGGATCCGCCTTTTCATGTACCGGCTCGGAGCAGGTGCAGAACCGAACAGAAGGGCGAACGACCGAACGGATCCGGTTCGGGGTACGCACTAGCGGAGATGCCTCCCCCCCTCCACAACCCTCGTTCCACGGCACGTTCGTTTACATAATGTGGAGCTAGTTTCAGCTAGTCGCCAATGCCGCGGCAAGTTCGTTTCTTATTAACATTGGTGAATAGTCTTTTATTTATTAACACTTCGACTGTGGCTTATTAATGCTCCGACACGTTAGGTGTCGACTTCGTGATCAGGGTTGTCATCTTAGTTTGTTGGGATCTCAAAAATAGAAGGGCCTTTCAAATATCAAAATTAAATTACCAAAATGTATTATTCATTTTCTAACAAAATTTAAATTTTTACACAGTTGCTTTTTTATTTTTAAAATATATCTAGTTTTATTTGTAGTATTTCTCAATAATATGCTTTCCTCTAAGTTCATAATTTACCAGTTAAAGCGAAAGTAACAATGTCTAGACGCACATCTAACTGTGGATATTTTTGTGTTCTGTGGTTTTTGTCTTCATTCACGAATGTTTAATATTTAAATATAAAATATTTGTACATATTCAATATATGTATGTGTATTCCATGTTGAAAGTTTGAATATTCGTATTTAAAAACCAAAACAACAAGAATGTCCAGAGTTAGGTAC